AAGTGTTGAGCCAGAAGGCTGTATGCAGAAAGCTGTACAAATTTCTCTTACATTACATTCAGTTCTCCCTTTCTTTGACTTTTTAAATGTGTATCACTGTCAGCACAATCCTGCGCATGTATATTCAGTAGTAAGTCCCAGCAAGTTAGATAGAGCTGGTTCCCAAGTGAGTGTGCATAGGATTGCAGCCTAAATTCTTAAACCGAAATTGATATGACCATAATGTGTATGGCTTAATGAGTTTCCAGGCGGTTCTAAAAGTGTGACTACTTTTGTTAGCTAAGAATTAGCTATGAATGATTTTGTATATTTAAGTGATGATTCTTCCATATCTTGTGTTGGGAAGGAGATAGCTTCTTGGCATTGAGTAACTGTAAATGATTCCAAGTGTGTTATCTCTGTATTTATAGTACTTGTACACATACACAGTTTTTATCATAAAAGATTCAAAATTTAACTATAATCCTTTGTCTACCCTTATTTTCAAAGTTAATAGTGACTTACATTAACAGGAAAGGGTGTGGTACAGATAAATGTTAGCATAACCGTAAATACATTATCTATCCTGGAAAAAATGCTATAAGTATGTGGAAGTAATGAATACCAGTATTCAATATGCCATGCATTTTCCCAACCCATAATCATTGGTTAACTGTACATTGTCTTTTTTTTTTTTTGAGCATTTACTAAACTGTCCTGATAGACCTGCCTTATATATATGTTGCACATTAATTTCTGGCTTTCAGATCTGTTAGGTACTGATTTGGGGGTTTTTTTCCCCACAAGGACATTACAGTTCAGTATACTGTAAACTATTCATCAGTGTAACTGTCTTTTAAATATAGTTGAAAAGTCTTTGTGGAAAGTGTTTCTAATACTCAAAATTGGGTTATACTATGTTATGTATAATTAGCTGCTGCTGAAAGATATATGCTTCTACTCAAATACTACTGTAAACTGGTGCACATATATAACTTAAAAATAAATCAGCAGTTCTATAGATAAATCGTTCTTTTTGATGAAGACTGGCAATTTTTTTAGTAGTTTTCCACATAATGCTACATCCAAGTAAAAGTCAGATATATAAGTGAGAATTGTATGTAATAGTTCTGAGGTGCACAGAAAATGAAGGATATGCACATATTACACATTTAACTTCATATCTCATTTCCAAATCTGACTACTTTAATGTAAATTTACCTACCTTTATGCATAGATAACAATGTAGGACTATTCACAGATATAGACATAAGTAGCTCCACATCCATACCAATTAAAACTTTGCATTCACATACTGTCTTTATTATTCCAGAAGAATGAATTAGTATTTAAAGCCAAAACTAAGAAGTTGAGGGAAAAGCAGTTAATCTAGTTGAGAAAGTTATGCTGCTGGTTTTGAATAAAACAGAGGACAAGCTAGCATGGGGTTTCCCCTTTATAGGAGACTTTTGACACTTTTTGAAAATACCTAGCCCCCTGCCTTTTCATAGCTTATTAGCACAGGTTGACCTTCACATGTTTGACCTGATAAATTTAGGATGAATTTCCCCTCATTGCAGGCAAGTTGCTGAAAGTATTATCCACCACTGCTTCTCAGCTGTAGATGGAATCTAAAAAAAAAAAAAAAAAATCTAGCGTTGGGTTTTCAGGCTACAACAAACATTGCAGAATTGATCAAAACATTCCAGGCATCTCCTTACACAAACATAACTTGACAGACCTACATTATTTACATGACTACAGAATAATTGTTTTAGAGGACTCCAGTACATATCAGGATAGTGGGCACCTCTGTGACAAACAGATGAGATTAGTTCTTTTGGGAAATCTTAACTTGAAAAGTTAAGGTACTGATTGAATGAACATTAATTTATATATGATTAGCACCATACTTTGGGAAACTTAAATGTATTCAAGTATTGTCCTCACTCCTTTAACTTTTAAGATGCTGCAGTAATAGTTTACTTTAACATTAAAATATCTGAGAATTTGGAGAAAAGCACCACATATTTTACCCATGTGCTTTCTTCAGAGCATTATTTTCATGCAGGTCTTGATTTATTTATTTATTTTTCTAACCTGCCCCATTAGCTACACAGCTCCCATATAGACATTAGACAGACATTAGCATAATGGCAATCAGTAGAGGGAATATAAAGAGCATTATTAACGACTGTAGTGCTTACAGGTACTGTAAACATTGGGATATATGTAGTAAAGCTATATAATTTCAGCTAGTATCAAGATGTCACTTAACTAAATTCTGTAAATAAATGTTCGAGATGCTTTTGGGGGAAGCCAGAGAGGTGTTGTCAGCTAGGGTGAACAGAAGACAGAGTAACTCACTCATATACTCAGGTGGCACTATTAATATCATTACTAGAATTACATCAACACTAACTTTTTTGATAATATAGTTCCTACTTACGTAGTTACTAACTAGGACTAGTAGCATTTCTTTTATCAGTTTAGTTGTGGTTTTGCTTAGGTTAAACTAAAGTCTTTGGATAGTTGAAATACAATACTAGAAAACTAATTCTATAGAGATGTGCAATATCCATCAAAATTATATTTTAGTGTAACAAATGACAAACACATGCTAACTATGCAAAGAAATGGGCTAGTTAGCAGCAGTCCACATTCCATTTACTTCAGAGTAATCCTGTTATGGTCAAATGGCCAAACTAAGTATGGCAGGTTAGCCACATATTTCTTATCTCTGTCCTGTTCAGCTAGAACTTATAGTGGGCTCTGCTCTCTTAAGTATCTCCATGCTTCTTTCCAGGTCATTCACCACCTATCTGTTTTATCTTATGCACCATGTTTCTTTACATAGTTTTTCTCCAGTTTGCTACACTTCAGTGTTGGGTTGGGGAAAAGCTGTGTAAAGCAGAAAGGTAAGGCGAAGAATGCAGACATTTATGTTTTCTCTCCTGTGGGTTCATTGTTGTGTAAAGAACAGCCCTTTTGCCTCTGCTGACACACATGTCAGTGGGATAGATATGTGAATGATTGTCCCACCACGTCTAGTTTAGCCTTCAGATAGTGTTTGAATTGTTGAATAAGGCAGTATTGCACTTGACTGTATCCTGTTCAGAAGGCCAGGAAAGGATAGAGCTCGCTATGAAACACATTCTGTATAAACATTCTTAAGAGACATTTGTAGCATTTAAACCTGTTCCCATAACCATGCAAATTATTTTCTGCTTGTTTGCAGTCATGAGGTCTCAGCACAACTCACTCTCCCTATATTATAAAAATAAAGTGCAAGTGAGCTGTGTTGCAGTGGGGAGTGCTAGCCATATCCTCTATTAGGAGAGGATCCTGAACAGTGATCCTCTACTTCAATTCTATTCCTCCTCATATCTTTTTATTTTTTATTTTTGTCAGCCCCCTCTTCCATCAGTTAGCTTTCTGGCCTGCTGACCATTCTTAGTCCTTGTTTAGGACTTCCCTCTATTCTTTTGTTTTTGTACTTCTCCAGACCTTGGAGTTTCTCAATGCTTCTTGTGCATGGAAGGTGCCATTCTGGCTGTATATGGAATAAGCTTGTTGTTAGTATATATGATGTAATTATTAGATGTTTGTCAAATTTATTTGCTATCAGAAGCAATAGCAACATGCTTTTATTTTTTGTATTTGAGGTTTCAGAGAGAGACAGAAGCTTTAGAGAGGAAGATCAGTCTTTAACTTTAAAAGGAGCGAGAAGAGAAGAACAAAATAGTTTATTTGATAGTGTTGTACAATATTGAAGATGTTATTGCCACTTTTGTTTGTGATGGGTAAATGCCACAAAAAGACTTCTATGTAAGAAAACATCTGGACTCCTCACGGCTGCATTGTTAACAGTTGCTCTGCTTTGAGGAAAGATGTTTCATCCTTCACATGAGGAGCACTAAAATTGTTTGAGTGTGGAGAAGCCCTTCTGTGTAAGATGTGAAAGCTTCTAATGTATTAAAACCGCAGCCCCTACCCACTGAATTCATGAAGCAATTTGTTTAATTAGTTGCCTAAAGTGACAAAGCAATTCTGCTTTATGAGAACAATTATCATGCAACTAAAAGTGCAATCCTGCGAACGCTTATGTAGAAATAGTTTCTGGTGCAGTTAAACTTCTCTGCAATGCATTGAAGTTTTGTGTGATATACATGTTTTGCAGTTCCAAGAACGAATAGTAAAAATGAACTGTTGGAATAATTTCATATTTAATGGCAAATATAAAGTCTTTTGAGTGTTTAATAATTTTTACAGTTACTTAAATATTAAGGATACTTGACAGCAGCAGTTAGATAAGCATTTAGCTGTGCAAAAACTATTTAATTTTTTTCTTTATTGGCAAACAATTGATTCATAACACTGCTAATGTTATGACTGTCAGTTCAGTTTGAGGAGCTCAGTTTACCTCTCATTCTCAGACAACAAGAAATTGGGATGTCCTAATTCCAATTTAAGAAGGTGAAAGGTTAGCTCAAAAGCATGCTCTGCCTAAATACTTCACTTTAAACTGATCAATTTAATGAAAATCTGTTTTACAGATGTTGCTTTAATGTCTTTGGCAGGATTTGGATAGCTTTAACATTAGAAGTTAGCTAGTAAACATTATTTTTTATTTGAACAGAGCAACACCTTTTCTTTTATGTTATGTAGTAGAAAACATGTGGGCCATGATATTTTGGCAGAAGATCCAAGGCAAAAAGTGTTGATTATTTTTCCATATGGATGCAAAATCAGGATATTTTTATGTCCACTGCTATCAGTGATTGTGAAAACAAACAAAGTTGCATTCAGTACTAAGCATAATGTTTTCTGTGAATGTTAATTTCTCTGTAAATTATACTTGAAAAATTGTTGCTTCCCATTTTCCTAAGACAGAAGTAACAGCATTCCAAAATCATAATAAAGACTGATCCAAATAACAATTTTCTTGTTTATGTGAAAATATGCACTTGGTGTACATAGCAGAAATTGTCATACAAACCCTTGTAAGCCACATGCAGTCC